TTGGTTCGCCTATTTACAGGGCGGTAGTCTCCGCACGCTCTCCATTGGTCCGCTTTCTTGGGGACCATATGTAGTGGTGATGCCCATGGGCTCTTTGAAGGCCGGATTATTCCTTCTCGTAGTAGTAGTTCGAACTCTATTTTTGCTGCTTTCAACTTGTCTGGTGCCAGGCGTCTCGGTCGGCAGGCCTCCGGCGGGCCTGGCGTGGTGTTTATGTAATGCACGGTATTGTGCGAGCACTTCGCTGTTCCCGATTGTCGTGTGATGTCGGGAAACTCTTTTAATATGTGGTGGTAGGGCGACTCCTCGTTGATTGCTTTTATTGAAAAAGTGTGCTGCTCTTGGGTGCGCCCTTTTGCTCGCAGGCCTGTCTGCCCGTCGACCAGGCATCCTCTTCTGACGTCTGGTAATAGGTGGTAGAATGCCAGGAAATCGGAGCCTATGATTGGCGTCGTGACGTCCGCTATGATGAATCTCCATGGAAAATCTCGTCTAAGTCCGAAATCGGGCTGGAGGTTCGTGCTCCCATAGGTTGCTATTGCGGATCCGTTGGCTGCGTAGAGTTCGTATTTTTCCTTTTGATTCCTTCTTCCTCGCTGGTGTGGGTAGACGCTTATATCCGACCCGGTGTCTATCAGGTATCGTGTCTTTGTCTTTTTGTCCGTCAGGAAGAGGCGGCGTGGTCGTGGGCTATCGTTGTTGGCCGCCATCAGCAACTGCCCTCCGTGTTTTCCGGCTTGGCCGGTTTGATCGCCTTGTAGGTGCACGGTTCCTCGCATTTTCGTGTTTTATCTTTGAAGGTACGGTGGTAGTAACAGTGTTCCACCGTGAAACCCTTGGTGTGGCCACGGTTGCGGCTGCGGCTGCGGCTGCGGCTGCGGGATTGGTCCGCTCTCCATCGTTTCCTCTCCTGCGAGAACTGTGTTGTTAGCGCTGCCACCTGTTTTGTTAGCGCCTCGATTTGTGCTTGTAACGTCGTTTTTTCTGTGGAGGTTGCCTCTACTGCTGCGACGACTGCGCGGTCGTTGACCTCGTGTATGCGGTCGGCTTGTTCTGCGACGTCTTCCAATCGATCTCCTTGACGAGTTGCCAAGATGACCTGCATCTGAGCTGGTAATCTCCCTAGCCACAGTGTTCGGAGTAGGCTATCTGGCACTGCGGTGCCCGCTAGTCCTTTTAGGTGGCGCAAGAATTGCGATGGCTTCCTGTCGCCGAGTTCTTCGCGCTCTAGTAGTTGTCTCGTTCGTTGCTCCTGGGATGTAGATAGGCGCTGTATGAGCGTCTTCTTCAGCGTCTCGTATCTATGTTCCGCTGGTGGAGACGTGACGATGTCTTTTATTTCCTTGGCGTATCTGGTATCTATCTGTGATAGCGCGTAGGCGTACCGCGTTGTGTCCTGCGTGATTCCGCATATGATAAACTGGCTTTCCAGTTGTGCGAACCACAGCTCCGGCTCTTCTGGCCAGAATGGTGGCATTCTTAATCCTACGCGGTTTATCTGGAGCTCCTCCTTGACTTGGTGGGTTCTGTCCCCTTCCGTTTGCTCCTTTGATGTCGCCATCTTGTTGTTCTTTCGTCGGGGTCACCAGTTATGGCGGTAGGCCAAAATTCGTGCGAGATGGCGATGTTCGTTAGAGATATTTGGGGGCCCTGAGAAGGGCCGTTTGTGTTATGGGGCCCTGAAAAGGGCCGGTTGGTTTCTCCTTAGGAGGCTGGCAGGCGTTCACTCCAGACCAGGCACGGCTGCGTCTTGGTACGGTGGAGTGGCTGTCGATCTCCCCACGCTCCGGGCTTCCTCCACGCGGTGTGCCGGGCGGTGTGTACGTCCCTTGATCGGCGAGGTCCGGGTCCTCTGTCTGCGTGGTCTGGTGCTCAAGGCTTGGAGAGCACGCCTGTGTGTCGGCAGCGATGAGCGGGAAGTTGGCGGCTTGGTACGGTTGTACTTGCGCAGCGTTATCAAAAAGACTTCCTTCTCGTGGCTGATACTGTCTCGTATAGCTGTGCGAGGATAGTCGAAGGTATCGTCGCTTGCCGGTCCTTTTATATCCTGGTCGCTGAATTTCTCTTACGAGAAAGGGCAGCCGCTTAGCGGAGCGTATTTGTTATTATCTTCGACGGCTTGCTGATTGCACGTGCTCGTTGCGTGCGGCCGTTCGCCGTGCCGCCGGTGCTCTCGCCGGCCGGGGTGTGTATGACGGGCTGCCGTCTGGCAGGCGCGGGGCGCGCTTGCAGCCGCCACAGCATGCATCTTTATACCGTTCATCAGGAAAGCTTGATACCTTCTCTCCTAATAAGTCAAAAACTTCATCACAAATTCCATTTTTAAAAGTAATACATTTCAAGCGTCTGCGCAGAGTACGAGTTGAAAGCAAAGGAATATCTTGACGTAGTAATTCTCTGTACCCATTATCCCCACATGTATGTTTGAGCCGTAGTGCCTTTTTAATGGTTTCGTTTGTCCATGCACGTATAGAGCGTACAAACCATCCTTTATATTTAGCTCTTACAAGTAAACCTAGGCAAGTGTTACTCGCCGATTTTAATGAAACTTTACATATTTGTAGTACTTTGAAAAATATTTGACACGTATTTTTTTTTATCGGCAAAGGTCCACTCTGAAGGGTGAAAACACCCCTTTAAACGTGGAATTTTGATGTATCTGGACGCCATATTGGGTCGGCCATTTTGAATTTCATACTTTTGACATAAGATTTAGTTTCAGCGACCCCAAAAACCCCCTAACACGTTTATTTCCAACTTATTTCACCTAATATGTTAAATCAACCCCTTACGTTTAAAGGGGTGTTTTCACCCTTCAGAGTGGACCTTTGCCGATAAAAAAAAATACGTGTCAAATATTTTTCAAAGTACTACAAATATGTAAAGTTTCATTAAAATCGGCGAGTAACACTTGCCTAGGTTTACTTGTTAGATACTTTATCTGATCTTTATAAAAGACATGTTGCAACAAGTCTTGTGCCACAGGAAATTTTTGTTCCTTATACAACTTAATGTAGTTTCTTAACTATCGTACACGCTGCCGAAGATTTCTGTTGGTCTTATCCATTTTGCAAATAATCGGTATTTGCCCTCTCTAATTTTTTCTTTGCTTCATCCAGTTCTCCAGTCATTGAATTATTTGTTGGAATATCCATTTCAATATCCATTTCAACAGGAACATCATCGCAAATCTATGAAAATTAAAACTGTTTTAAAACTTACTTTACCATAACGCTATTAAAAATTTCAGTTAAAACTAATACATACATCTGCATTTTTTTCCACAGCTGGAATATCTTTATTTTTTGAAGGATGAAAAACTGTTGGAACGGCATTACATTTTAACTTTTTTTTACCATCTACTCGTACCTTTTCCCACATTTCTGCTGAAAAATGGGCCTACAAAAATTGTCCAAGATTACCGTTATATTTCTATCTTTAATTATACAATTTATTACTTACTTCGCATACAAATAAGTTTTTAGTTGCGCTCCACTTTCGCGATTGATGGCCATCGCTGTGAATATTAATATTTTTTATCCATATTGTTTTTCGCTCTATATTCGATGGGAAACTCCTCATCAAAAATCCTTTTTCGGTGGAGTTGAAGCAGTTAGGCACGTAACAGCCAGGCATTTTCTACAAAATTTATGTAACTTGTAATAAACAATGAATACGATATTAAAGGTTAGGAAGTGATTTCTGTTACAGTATTATGTTTTTTTTCTATATATTTTACTTTATCTGTCATAATATTATACTATAAGTCACTTGTCTTACTTGTTTATAATGCTTTTATGATTCACAATAATTTTATATTATTATTACCTTACACTTAAAAAAACTATCTTCCACTTCGATAACTGGGATGAGTCACTCAGCATCTTACACATGTACTAAACTCTAAGTTCAGGTTAGGTTGTAACCGAACGATACATAATCGGGCTACGGGGTACGCTATTTTGTCCTCTAAGTCATCGGTCGCCACTCGGTTTGACCTAAAAATACCATTTGTATGTATTTGACCGGAAATGAATGTCCGGGAAAGAATCTACCATATGAAATCGTTTGTATTTCGTATGAAGACTTTTGAAGTACAATTGAAAAGGTTTGTGAGTCATTCGTTTAATTGTAATTAATTAATTATTTTTACACCATGCATTTAGCCGAAATAGATAAATTAATAAAAGTTTTTATACGGAATTGTTTGTATTTTGTATGAAGAGTTATGAAGTGTGATTAAAAAGGTTTGTGAGTCACCCAGATAATTTTAATTAAATATTTAAAAACTCGGTAATTAGCCGAAATATAGATTTTTAGTTATTCATGTTAAAAGAAGAAGGCGCTAGTGTTCCCGAAGGTCCGTCTGCAATCAGAATTAATATGAACGTTTTAAAAATTATTTTATACTGAAATAAATAAATATACAGGCTAATAAGCCTGTAGCTATATAAGCGATAGTTGCTAATTAAATTTGTAAAGATGTACCTGCTGTGCAGGGTGAAGAGCAGGTTATCTCAAACGCCCTGCCACAACCCAATTAAAAGAGACTCAAATGTCATTACCGCTGAGAAATACTTTTTGCCATTTAAGTTAGCATGTCAGAGCAACCGGATTGTCCATTGCGTTCCACCTTGAATTTTTTTTACAGTCGTTTATTAGGATTGCCCTACTTTTAAATTGAGCGCTTTTAAATGTATTATTATTAAACTACCGATATCGATATTAAAACTTGACAGAGTGACGTAAACTAATTCGCTCATAGTATTATAACAAAGTATTATGTATTCAAATTCTCGAAAGCTAATAGCTTCTTTACTAAGCTGTCTCTTTATGTCGATCGATTCAGATAAAAATCTCCGAAGTCTTTCTTTCTCTCGCGATATTCCTAAAGTAAAACTGTACAAAAGCTCTACGAAATTGGCGATATTTTTCACGGATCTGGTTCGAGTCTCGGCTCTTGAGGAAGGTGCGCATGTAGAAAGAGTACGCCAACACAGTTTATCCTGCTAAATGGTTATCAATTCTCTATAAGTTCTGTATTGTACATAAATTATAGAATATCTAAACGTTTCTTTTTTTTTCGATGTCCTGTGAAATTATACAATAGAGTTACAAATAAAGATAAAGTCACACTTTACGTATAATTTGATTCAGTCTTTGCTAATGTTACATAATAACGTGCGAAAGAACTAACAGTTAGACTATTTAAGAGGCTATTTAAGAATTTTAATTGATATTGGCAACATAAAACTGTTCAGCTAGCTTTACACAAGATATTGGTCTTCTTCTTTATGAAATCGTCAAATTATGATTATGATACATTTCTACATTATCACCAGCATCGAATCTAATCTTATTTATCGTGATACTCTTGAGAAACTGTTAATCCATTGTCTTAACTCGATCGCGGCGCAGAACTGCGTCCACCAATATTGTTCCTCTCCCTCCAATCGATTCCCGTAAAAGCTGTCTACATATTGAACAGTCGATACAACGACGGCGGATTAGTCTGAAATTAAGCACACGTTAACAATCACTCTTTTTGATAAAATTACAATTCTCTTTTCAATCGCATACCTTGATTATGACATAGACCAGCACGGGAGTTAGATCGTCGGCAGCAGGTATGCCTCTTTCCGACGCCATGGAGAAGAGATTCATGATGGTAGTCGTGCAACGAAATACACACTGCAACTTATCCCTAGGAGTCTTATACGCCAATATCACAGCCAATTCAGCCTGGGCCCATGACCAGGGGAATTCGTAATGATAAACTTTTGAAATGCGTAGGTCCCTGTGATTTGGAGTTACGACCTTTGCCAACTTATTGATGTGACCGTGAAAAAGCTGGTCCCTATATACATCCCCATCTTCATTTAGATAGAGCGCATTGTGGTATATCCGTGCCATGACTGTTCTTTCCACCACGACTCTCGCCAAATCTAACTGGTTGGCGCTTGCCGCTGAAAGTAAGAAGTAAGTTCAGACGTCTCTGAGCACTCCGCTAAAATCAATTGCGAGATAAATAATTATATTCATGTACATTGCCAAATCGGATCGTTGTCCATTTCCACATGGATCTTCCCTAGAAAATTATCCACGAGATTCTGTTTCTCGTCAGCTAGCGTAAGCTTTTTAAACTCTTCGCAGAAACGCAGGAGGAAAGCCTTCTTTTTTTCCAAAAATACCCTCACACAAACGGATACAAAATGATTATTGATAGCATCCTGATCGCACTTAACTCGCACGCATAATCTGAAAAATATTATTATTAAACGGTTAACATCTTACATTTACTTATACATTACATACAAAGATGATATTTATATATAAACAGTACCTATCTAAGTGAGCTAATGTCGACAGCAATCCCTGACGACATCTGATTAAATATGCGATATAAGGAGATCGCTTTTGATAATCCTCTCAAAGTGATTTGAAGAGCTTTCTACATCCATCGTCATTAAGTAGACGCACGCAACGTAAAGTTTCATGAAGATGAGCTAGTTAGACTTAGCTAACTAAGACTTAGCTCAGCTTCAGTTTTGCCGTTTGCTATGACAGAACCCTCCTGCTGATGTTCCCCATCAAGCTTCACGTTCTCTTCCTCCGCCTGAGTCTCCATTCGCGCGAAGATCACGTTGATCATCTGCGTGAAAATCGCACAGGCTGTTGTTTGATTCACCAGGTTGCGCGACAACAAGTAAATGTTGTAAACAGTACGAATTGTTAACAGTACCGTACCCTCGTATACCTCCACATGCTGGCTTGTCATTACAGTCAGCAGAGCTTTAATAATCTGCAGCTGCACACTCTCATCTATCTGTGGACCGGTGAAGCAACTGCAAATTGTCTCGACAATGCGCACAATCAGCAGCCTGTTAGGCTTCGTTGAATCAGGCACATTGCTAGTGAGATGACTATATGCGATTAACTTCTGCAGGCAGTCCAGTGCTGTGTCACCACAATCCGTAGTGGACTAGCTCTGACATGCTGACTCAAATGACAAGAAGTACTTAGCGGTAATGACATTTGAGTCGCTCTTAATTGGGCTGTGGCCCAATTAAGGGCGTTTGAGATAACCTCTTCACCCTGCACAGCTGGTGTACATCTTTGATCTAGTTACGGAGGTCCTCTGCAAGATGGAAATATGAGTGACCAACTTAATTAGTAACTATCGCTTATAGCTACAGGCTTATTAGCCTGTATATTTATTTATTTCAGTATAAAATAATTTTTAAAACGTTCATATTAATTCTGATTGCAGACGGACCTTCGGGAACACTAGCGCCTTCTTCTTTTAACATGAATAACTAAAAATCTATATTTCGGCTAATTACCGAGTTTATAAATATTTAATTAAAATTGTCTGGGTGACTCACAAACCTTTTTAATCACACTTCATAACTCTTCATACAAAATACAAACAATTCCGTATAAAAACTTTTATTAATTTATCTATTTCGGCTAAATGCATGGTGTAAAAATAATTAATTAATTACAATTAAACGAATGACTCACAAACCTTTTCAATTGCACTTCAAAAGTCTTCATACGAAATACAAACGATTTCATATGATAGATTCTTTCCCGGACATTCATTTCCGGTCAAATACATACGAATAAAACTACCGAGAAGGTAGGTATTCGTAATGCGAACGGACCAAAAGTTGAACAATTTGTTTAAACAATTTTATTTTTAATCCCGTCACAGCTGCCTAGTAAGCATCGCTTGTGCTCTGGATACCGCTAGGTATGACCTTGATCGGCCAGCCAGGGGTGCCTGTCATCCGGACAGCCGCTTGATCAGGTATGTATATACGTATATCTCCTTAACCCTTTCACTTTTTAGATTCCCGCCACAGCTGCCTGCTCTGGGATGCTCTGCCTACCGCCTCCGCTATCTATCATTCATCTACCTCTTCCGTGGAACCAAGATGGCCGGACAACCGCTTGATCGGCTAAGTCCCAACATTAATGTAAGTAAAACGCTATTAATTCTCTTTTATTTTCAGGTTTCGTCTACGGATTCCTCATCACCATCGCCGACGTCATGGATCACCGCTGCTCACCGATGTCCAGGATCACAGCGTCTGGTAGCTAGCCGGACAACCAGGTAAGTACGAGAACTGTCCGCGTAACTATAATTAATGTCGTTTGTTTGCAGGTTTCCGCCACGGCTTCCTCATCTATGGCCTCCTCAGAAGCAGAATCTATGATGACCTTGAAGCTCGGTCAACGCTAACACCAAGATGGCCGGACAGCTGCTTGTTCAGGTAAGTTAAGGGTAAGTAACTGATATTTTTGTATATATTTTTGCAAATAATTATTGCTTTTATTGTTAACTATCGTTTCACAATGATGGTGGTTCACAATTACTGATTGCCGCACAAGATGGCGGTCGCACGTCTCGCAAAGTGCGATTTCACGATTCAGGTACGCGAAAACCCGTACGCCTTTCGTATCGGCGTCACGTAACGCTGTTAGCGGGCGTTCCCGTTTGTTTCGGACACTGCGGTAGGCTTACAAATCGTATTCCGTTTCGCGTTCGCGATATTAACTACGATACGCCGGGACATACGCGCGAGAAGATAGCTACCGTTCGAGCGCCCACGAGAGACTGCCTCGAGGAATATTCCTCTCTCGGGCTCCCTACCGCCAAAGTTTTACCCCCACCATGGAGTCTCGGCCGCTTTCTCCTCGCGGTAATTTTCCGTTCTACGCCGTTACAATAGCTGTTTACGAGTTTCGGCTAGCCAGGTGTGCGCCAGATGTTCGCGGTGGGAATTTCCGCCGCCAGTACACTATTTACGACGCGCTTAATTAGCTCCCGGGTAGTAGTATTTCAACTTTTTGAATAATGGACTTTCGATGGCGCCGACCCGCGCGCACGGCCTCTCCTATGTCCCTAACGCCGATTCCGGGTCGACTTCCTGGAGAAGACGTCCAGGTCGTTTTCTAAGTGTCCGCCGATGGCGGCGACCCATCTGCCTGTTCTCCCGGTCCCTACTAACCGTATTCTGGCTTAACTTCTAGAGATGGGCGATATTGGGGGAAAAAATCGATTATGTAATAATCGATTATGAGAATAATCGATATCGAGAAATCGATTATTAAGAAAAATAATCGGAAAATAATCGATTTTTTTTAACTGGTTATTTAAAAAATGGCACGTAAATGGTTTTTATTGTTTTTCGATTTGTTTAATTGTTTATTTTGAGCATTTCACATTTATGTAAAATATGTATAATATTATTAAGAAAATTTTTAAAAATTATTATTTATTGGCTAACTAAAAGTAAAATAACTAGATTTTATGCCGATGACGTATTATTTTTTTCTTGACTTATCCATAGTCGTGAAAAGGGCCCGTACAGATATCTGTAATATAAATCAAAACGATAGACTGCGTTCACTGCGTCTGCGTACTCTGCGTGACCGCAACCGGCCAATCAGGCGGTCGGGGTACTCGGGGTCGGGTTTCGGGCCAATCCGGTGAATCCGGCCAATGACAATAATCGACATAGCCCGATGCGGCAGGGTAAAATAATCGATTAATCGATTAATCGGTCCACAAATAATCGAATAAAAATAATCGATTATGACAAAAATATAATCGATTTTTGTTAAAATCGATTATAATCGCCCATCTCTATTAACTTCCTGTAGCCGACGTCTAGGATTATCGGTTACCCGGACTGTCCGGGCAGCCCCCCGTTAGGATGGTCGGATTTCGACCGCGATTCGTTCCTCGGGTGTACTAGGTATCCCCGAGGACGCAGTTTGAACCTTTTTCCGCTACGACCCTTGGTTCGATAGTTCACTAACTGTCCGGCGAACCGTGTGTCCGGGTGATCGGATTTCGTTCGCAATCGATTCCTAGGCTTCGTCTGCCTTCCCTGAGTACGCAGTTTCGGTCCTTCTCTGCTCCGACGCTCGGTTCGCGATTTGGCAACTTGTCCGGCAAACCCTATGTTTGCGCGCCCGGATCGCGCTCGCGATCGTTTCCTGCGGTCTGGATAAACCTCCTGGCTACGCAGATTCGGTCCCTTTCCGCTCCGACGCCTGCTTCGCGAAATCGCCTATTGTCCGGCAAACCGGATGTTTGCGTGATCGGATCGCGTTCGCGATCGGTTCCAGAGGTCGGTTATGCCTCCCTCTGCATGCAGATTCCGCCGTTTGTCGCTACGTCGCCGCGTTCGCGTTTTCGCCAGTTGTCCGGCAAACCTGGGGTTTGCGCGTGCGGATCGCGCTCGCGATTGATTCCAGGGGTCCGTGAGGCCTCCCTCTGGTTGCAGTTTCCGCCGTTTGGCGCTGCGTCGCTGCGTTCGCGTTTTCACCAGTTGTCCGGCAAACCTGGGGTTTGCGCGTTCGGATCGCGCTCGCGATTGGTTCCAAGGGTCGGTGAGGCCTCCCTCTGGTTGCAGTTTTCGTCGTTTGGCGCTACTCGCCCCGTTCGTGTTTTTCGCCGGTTTTCCGGCAAACCCCGTGTTTGCGTAATCGGATGGTGCTGGTATTCCATGGATTCCCTTTTGGGGATCCCAGGAATCGGCAGTTCGGCTCTTACCCGCGTAGCACGCGCGGTACGTATACTAGTTGCCCGCGCTATGCGGATTGTGGGTGATTCGACTATATAACTTAATTGTGCGTTACCGCGATTCACGCACAGATTCAAATCCAAATAAATCTACTCCCGGTCGAACCGGGTATTGTCATTCCGAAAGGAAAATTAAATATGGACCGTGAGACCGTAAGGCTCTGTGAGCCGCCGCTCGGCGACCGCTGTCGCGTTACTTGTCTATAACTTACTCATTACTGCCCCGAGTGGGCTTCCTCGCCAGCGTTGTCCCGCACTTTCCCTATCATAATGCGGAGGTTTTCGTAAGTGTTCGTTTGAGATGTCGGGGCGTTGCGTGCGGTCGCAAGGTCAGGCTGTAAGCACTAGAGTCCTATATTAGTAGAGAGACGCAAACTTGTTCCTCCTTTTGATTGGTCGTTTATAGACCAATAGACAGCAGGGCGTACGATCACAAGATGGC